ATTGAAGCAAATGTAACAGTGCTCGGCAGCAGTGAGTAAGGCAAACCAATGCTGGCTTATATTAAAAGAGCAATATTGAGCCAAAATACTGAGGTAATCCTGCCACTTTATAAATCACTAGTGTGACCACACTTGGAATACTGTGTACAGTTCTGGTCACCACAATATAAAAAGGATATTGCAGCGATTGAGAGGATACAGAGGACAACCAAAATAATTTAAATGATGGAGGGACTGGACTATGAGAAGCGAATAAACTGGGCATTTCACACTGGAGAAGAGGTCGAGGGGCGATATGATTACGGCCTTTAAGATTCTGAAGGGAATAGATAATGTAGATCATGATAAGCTGTTTTATCTTGTACTGAACAGTAGAACCAGAGAACATGGCTTGTAATTTAAGGGGGGGAAATTTAGAACAAATCTGTGGAAACACTACTTCAGTAAGCGAATAGTAACTTATGAACAGGCTCCCTAGGGAGAGAGTGAAAGCAGAAAATATTGTTTGTTTCAAGAACAACTTAGATAGATTTCTGTTAGAAAATAATATCTCGGGATACAGTACGACTGCCAGGGTGGTGGAAGGTGAATTAGATGGACCTTGGTCTTCTTTCGGCAACAAATTCTTATGTTATGTTCTTATAAGGTAGACAACAGTTCTCACCTGCTGCTTGATACATTTTGCTACTGGTGCGGAGAGGTCTGTAGCTAGGATCATCTTAATTAATCAGCAAGTAACCCATGAAATGAATGTATCTACCAATCATATTAAATGTAGCAATTTCGGATGATTGGGATCAATTCCAGTCTATACGGTTTGTGGGTTACAAGGTGAGTAAATATTTCTCTAGTCTACACTACCCAATCAATGGAATTTTCTCTTCCGCTGTTGTCATGTCCCTGTGATACTTGGCTACCCAGTGCCAACCAGTTGTCTCTTCAGTCCCATAGTTTCCTCTCAGATGGGCTTATGGAAAGCATGGAGGGATCTGTACAATGCTTGACCATCAAAATCGAACACAGATGAATGGAGGCAAACAAACAAATGATCCACATATAGAAGCATTTCAGCGATGGGGAAAAAGTGAATTATAGTCTTTTTTAAGTAAAGAATAGATTTCATACTGCTGGGTTTATTTTGTAATTTATAAGCAGACCTCAAAGTGGAGCTAAGTCACAACAATGATATTATTCCTTTCAATACGTCACCCACACCTCTTTCCATTTAATGCATGTGCCTTTTTTTTTTACTACTCTCTTTACATTCGTCCTCTTTGACCCTCCTATTTAGGTTACAAGGGCTAACATGATGTCTTCCCCCCCCCCCACCATACCCCTGCTCAGAATCAAATTGATAAATTATGTTGCTGTGGATTCATAATTTGTGTGTAAAGCTTGCCTACTGTGATATCATCATCACTTAAATAATCAAACTGTTGCTATGGGCACAGCAAACAGCTTAGAAAGTAAATATGAATCCTTGGTTGCCGAGTTTACCCATAGATCGCAGCAGGAAGAAATATGTCATGGCAACCCAGCTGTTCAAAATGTGTATGCAACAGAATGGTCTGATAAAAGGAGATGTGCAAACTGCTGAGAAACTTGCACAGTAATTACAGTAAATGGAGAGAAGAGTGAGCAATGAATAAAAGAAATGACTGCACTGCTGGGGTATAGCTGTTGGTTAGTGTCATGTATTTTATAATAATAATAATCCTTGCATTTGATATAGCGCTTTTCATGTCTTCTAGACGTCTCAAAGCCCTTCACAGAATATGCTGTAAAATGAATTGACTGTATATTTGTGGGTAAACTTGTGGATACATTTGTGGGATATTTGTGTATATTTGTGGGTAACCTCTGCAACCAAAGATTCATATTTACTTTCTAAGCTGTTTGCTGTGCCCATAGCAACAGTTTGATTATTTAAGTGATGATAATATCACAGTAGGCAAGCTTTACACACAAATTATGAAAATTAATGAGATTTGATTGTTGCTTTCAAAAAGGAATTGGATAGCTACTTGAAAATAATACCCATCACAGACATGATGGGCCGAATGTCCTCTTTTTGTGCTGTATAATTCTATGATTTGAAAAGGAAAAATTTGTGGCGCTATGGGATAAGAGTGGGGCTAGTTGGATAGCTCTTTCACAGAGCTGTCACAGGCACGATGAGCCGAATGGCCTCCTTCTGTGCCGCAATATTCTATAATTCTTTGGTGGGACCTTGCTGTTCGCAAACTGGCAGAATGTAGTCTGCAGAATGTAGTCAACAACAACTTGCATTTATGTAGCATCCTTTACGCGGAGTAGTGTCCCGGAGCGCTTCACATTGGTGAAGTCTGACAATGAGCCAGGGGGAGAGGAGGGGGGGAGATGCCCGTAAGCACGCTCAAAGATGAAGGTCTTTAGGTGGGATTTGAAGGTGGGGAGGGACGGGGTAAGGCAGAGGGACTGAGGGAGAGAGTTCCAGAATTTGGGGTCGCAGTAGCTGAAGCACGACCGCCGATGGTGGAGCAGAGGGATGCAGGACAAACAGGAGGCTGGAACCAGACAAGCTGAGGCAGATGGTGGGGCAGTGGGGGATAAGCAAATCGATAGGTAGGGAGGTGCAAGGGCATGAAGGGATTTAAAAACGAGTGTGAGGATCTTGATATCGATCCGTGCAGTAATTGGAAGCCAGTGCAGCTTGGCAAAGACTGGTGTGATGGGAGTACGGAGTTTTATGCAGGTGAGTATCCGGGTGGCGGAGTTTTGGATTAATTGGATTTTGTGTATGGTGGAGATGGCGGGACCAGTGAGGTGGGCATTGGAATAGTCCAGCTGGGAAGTGACAAAGGAGTGGATGAGGGTTTCAGCTGCGTCTGTTGTGAGGTCACTACACTTAGACTTTAATTACCTACAAAGCACTTTCAGACATTTTCATGTATAGGTGCTTTGTCAAATGCAAGGATTGCTGTAATTATCTGAGATATTTAATGATGAATCAATGCAGTTGCTGTTGTTCTGTAGCAACGTACCCTATTAGAGAATGAGTATATAATGAAGGTCAATGGTGCCAACTTCTAAATGGATTACCTCTAACAGGATGAACTCTGATATTACAGAGAGTGCCAGAGTTAACAAAATGGTCTTTTAGAAAGAAAGAATCAAAGTGCGGCAACTTCATTCAACTTTCATTTCTGTTATTGGTGTGCATCTTGACTCTGTAGGTCTTCACTTTATTTGGCTCTCTTTGACCTATTAAGAGGCAGAATGCCTGATCTATCCCAGAATAGATGAATAAAGCAGCCAGCAAGATTGCTGTAAGTGATTACTGGCTCGGGAAAAAAGGGCCACATAACATATATATATATATAATAATAATAATAATCCTTGCATTGGATATAGAGCTTTTCACGTCTTCTAGACGTCCCAAAGCGCTTCACAGAATATACTGTAAAGTGAATTGACTATATATTTGTGAGTGAATGCGGCAGCCAATTGCGCACAGCAGTGTCCCACAAACAGTCGTAGATTGAAAATGACCAATTTATTATTGTTTTTGTTTTTTTGGAGGGATTATTATTAGGCGTGTGGAGTAAGGAAACTCGCCCAAGGTTTCGCCCTGTCTGGTATTGAACTCAGGTCTCTTGCTTGCAAAATGAGTGCTCTAACCACTGATATATATAACCATATATACATGGAAAGTGAAGATACTCTGTGGATCTTCCATATGGAGACACACTTTCGACAATAATATTCCTCGCCTCTCTCCTAATACTTCACAAGTAATATAGCACAATGAGGAGGATAATCTGCACATTTCCCTTTGTATAAATGGGATATTAAACACTGATATGTTTCTCTAAAACCTCAACCGACATTAACAGGGAGTGAGACAGATCTCTTTTTTTAGATCAAATACACGTATGTTTAAGTTATTGCCCAGTTATAACAGAGAGAAATAAATTTCTCACATTGGTTCTTAGAAAAATCATAGAGGGCATTTTCTGATCTTATTGTCATGCTTTCTCATTGATCACACCACCTGGATTCAACAGGGAATTCTCTTATTAGGTCCAAAATATTAAAGAACGTATTGTGGAATAAGATCAGTGCACAAATGATTGTTGCTGATTAGAAGGACTGAATAAAATTACAATGAGGAAAAATAATTACAAGGCGAACTTTCAGAATGCCATTGATTATTTTTTGTTTCACTATATAAATAAAATAAGAAAGAAAAAAAGAAAGAAAAATACAGGGACAATGATGTATAATACACTCTAGGCTCTGACATTCCCCTGTAACATGAAACAGATTTACTGAGTTAGTCCTGTACATGCTCTCCTGCCTCAGGAGATGCAAATTAGTATAAACAGCAATGGTGCACACCCCTGTGCCCACAAAACACACATTTATCAGCAACAAAAACTTAAGGTAATGTTTGTACACTTGCTGACTAAATTTTAGAAAGTTCTAATGTATCGAATATCAATTATCAGAATATGTGGAAGACAGGCTAGTCAACACTGCTATGAATGCTCATGGCCACGAGAACAGGTGGCATTTTTTTCATCAGAGCATTAAAACTTCTGAGTAGAGTAGAGCTGCCTGTGAGTCAGCAGTCAATAGCTGTGATGGAGCACAGATGGAGCACTAACAACAACCCAGCTTCATGGGTGACAGGACTGAGAACAGTACGTGTGGGTTGGAGGAGAGGGTGTGGAGAAAAGTCTGCCTCTGGAACATACGGGATGGGAAATTCATTTTTGATACTTAAGGAATTTCTAAATTTAGACCACAAGTTAGACTCCAGGGTGAAGAAGCACACACCGCGCCGTATTCCATGAGGGCAATGTTATTTCAGCTTGTATGGACCAGGGATACCACGGGGATATTTGGTTTTAAGAAAGGTCAAAACAAACATTTTTCTGAACACATCAAACGCTTGTCAGACATTTCTTTGCCGGCAACAAAAAAAAATTGCAAGAGAATTAATTTTTATAACTCACTTCTCTGGCTTTTCTACCTCCTCGGTGACAAAATTCAAGTAAAACCTGCATAAGATAAGGAAGGCAGAGTATTAGCTTAAGACCAAGCTAAACAGCAAAGGACTACTTTATCAAAGGCCATCTTCAGTAGAGCCAAACTAACCTTTAATTATGCATAACAAAATTCATTCATTCATATTGTGAATGCAAGCTCAGGTCTATGTTTCACATCATTCCTGTGCTGTACATAATATTATTTTAACACATATTGTTCTCTCTTTTTACAGTTACAATTTAATATCTACCAGTCCAATTAAAGCACTGATGCTTTCACTTCCTTAACCCATTTCTCCTGTTATGTAATGTGTGGGAAAGGCCATGTGATTTGGCTTTTGAAATGGCTTTCATTTATTTTGTCAAGAAGCAAAAGCTTTTCACAAAGGAGTATGCCTTCAGCTGGATAAATAATCACTAGGTGTCAATGATGCTCCTTGTTTCTCCATTTAGTTTGATTGCTGGGCTGTCGGAGAAGGGAACTAAGGAAACAGGAAAAGAGGCAAAGCGGACAGACAGCCAACCTGAGTTGCTCTCATAGTCCTCTTCAAAGTGGCACAGAAGTAGCTGAGAGAAAGATCACCCTCAGTTGTTTTTTGCTTGATCCATAGAAATGCATAAGAGTGAAACTAAGCTGCCTGCAATCCTACTGTTAGTGCAGACCATCAAACATGTCTCACACTGACCAGTACTCTGCTCGGACTTGAATCTCATTTCTGACAACCCTAAGGCTGGAGAGGTCATACAATAGACTTCCAGAGTTCAGCAACAGTTCTGCTAGGTGTCCGAGGTGTCCTGAATATGCAGGTTGTCTTGTTTTCCTTCTTGCTGTGATACCTGTTAATGCTTTGATATAACCAATTAGCAAGAACTACAAGTTGTAAAATCTGCTGTCTACTGACTAATTTGTTACTTTTTATGTGGGAGGTGATCCGATACTGGAGCCAAGCACGTATGTAGTACTCCAGGGCACTGCTGATAACTGACAAGCCTGCCTACCTTACTGATCAAAGTTGGAGTGGTAGGCAAGTCATTGGGGGAACAGAATTCTTCCCACTAGGTTTCCGATAACAATGCAACCAAATGTCAGTGTGGTCCATTGGTAGCACACTCAATCTGAGTCAGAAGATTATGGGTTTAAGCCCCACGTCAGGACATCGAATCACACAGTCTAAATTGACACTCGAATGCAGTGCTGGGGGTGTGTTATTTTGTTAGAGGTGCTGTCCTCCAGATGAGATGAGGCCCTGTCTGCTTGTTCAGGTAGACATTAAAAATCCTTTGGGACTACTTGAAAAGAGAAGGGAGTTTCTCCCAGTGTTTGGGCCAACAAGCCCCAAATAAAATTGGTCACTCACTCCATGGCTGTTTGTAGGACATTGTTGTTTGCAACTGGCTGCCATGTTTAGCCCAAAAAATATAGAGTCAACAGAATAAAACAACAAGGGCTTACAGTTGTAAAGGGCGATTTCAAGAGAGATACCAGGATGTGTTTCTTTAACCAGAGGGTAATTAATGAGTGGCAGGAAAGATGGTAGAGACCAGGACATTAAAGAGCAGCTTAAATCAGTGGTGGAGTTCTGGAGGGATGAGATTGGATGGGCCGAAGGGCCTTCTTCATTTAAACCAATCTTGTGGCAGCAGCTGTGGTGTATTCTAAGGTACATTTGATATTTGCTACGTCAAATGCACTGTGATGTGCAGAAGGTAGGCCCACCCCAATGCTATTCTCAATGGCAACGGCCTGTGATTTTGGATTTTGGATCATGGATAGGGTGCAGGTGGACAGTTTGATTAAAAAGCTGCTAACCCAAAGTTGAAATCAAAACTCAGATAAACAGGTTAGCTACATTACCTTTCGATTTCTGTGCATTCATTTTTTCATGGGGTAGTCGGTGAAGGAGGGAGGGCACTTACCATCCTGCATAAGCATACAACCCAGAATAGAAAGCCAGGGGCAATCCTGTAATGCTAACATCTGTCACACTAAATGATTCCTTAAAGTTTTGCGTCTCTCCTGTGGCACATAAGGAAAAGCGAAATAAGCATCGCCGGCAATGTCAATACTGTTATTACAGAAGCAGACACAAAGAAATGATCTGGATGACAAGAAGGAGAATATTTGCAATGTTTAAAGCCTGTGTCTTTGGAAGTAACTTATTGAAATTAAGTAAAGCCATGATGGTTCTTAACAGTCATGTCCTAATTTGGAAGGCAAAGACTTTGAAGTCTGCCCTAATTGTCAATAATGATCAATCAGTAAATGGAGTAAAATATCAGCCAGTATTCCTCTCCTATGATGTGATAAGACGCTAAATCAAATCAGGATTATTATTATTTAGCTTTGTTCTCATATAATGAAAATATCATGACTTTCTCAGTGACATCTGATGGCAAACGCACATGTATGGATGTCAGAAGCCCCAAAATCCACCTAGTCTTAAACTGTCAGGTTATTTTATTTTAAAATTTAAAATTTTAGATTAATTAATCAATGTTTTAAGCTAAAGGTTTGTGCAGAACTGTGAAAAATTCTTAAATTCTGCCTTAGCTTCAAAGATAGTTCTTTTTAAGAACTGAAAATGCAAAACTGACTTCCAGATTAAGACTGAATTTAATTATTTTCCAGAATTCTGCCATTTGCTAAAATGAAATGTTCTTACAGGCTAAAATGACAGGAAATTTCGGGTTCCACGTAAGGACAGGATCAAGGTCAGCTTTGATGTTTCCCCTATCTGTCAAATAGTTGCTGACCCTCACTGTCTGGCTCACACATAAAGAATGGCCTCTTGGGAAGGCAGAGGCCATGCAGAGTTTGTGGTATTCCAACAAATACCAGAGTAAGGATAAAATTAATGGGAGTGGGCAGAGAGAAAGTCATGATATTTTCATTATATGAGAACAAAGCTAAATAATAATAATCCTTATTTGATTTAGCGTCTTATCACATCATAGCACTTCACAGAATATACTGTGAAGAGGATGGACTATATTTTGTGGGTGAGACTTGGCAGCCAATTGCACACAGCAGTGTCCCACAAACAGTCGTGGATTGAGTGACTCAATTTTTTTCATTTTTCTTTTTTGAAGGGATTATTAGCTCTTAAATTCTAAACACAGAGACTGAAATTATTTTTACATAACAAACAATCTCAAAGAAAGAAAAACACATTGTACTATTTTTATACGATGCAGGAAATGTAACTATATGTAAATAAAGTACAGGGATATAATTTATATTTTGGTATTGTAGCACAATTTATGTTTAGTTTAGTATTGCTCACCTTTAAATAATTGTATCATTCCAGGTATGACCATTATTAAAATGGCAGCAAGTTTGCAGAAGGTGAGAAAGATCTGTAGCCTTGCAGTCCAGCTGACACTCATACTGTTAATGAACATCACCAAGGCTAGGAAAATAAAGACAATATAAGTACTGCCTTTTATTAAGTGGGCGTTTGTCCACTAACATACAGTCAACTCTACTTTACAGTACCTTCTGTGAAGTACTCTGAGAAGTCCTCCAAATGCGAAAGGGGTTACAAAGTGCTCAGACCACCACATTTCTGGAGATAGTTGGAATTTGCAGATTTGTTTGCTAATAGCGCATTTTAGGTCCCCTTCCCCCATGTCGCCCATAAAGGTAGCTCCAAGTCGTACTTACCCTCATGTCACTGTCCAATTGAGACACAAAACCAACTCTTCAAAGTCAAGTTAAAAGGAGGAATTTATGAAAAAAAAGTCTCCCTTTCCCCACCCACTATTGTCTGAAATACATCTTATGGAGAGCACCGAGGAGGTCAGAAGATTGTGGATTCAAGCCTCATGTCGGATGAGACATCACAATGAGTACCCACATGCCTGTTCAGATGAACGTTAAAAAGGTGGACTTGCGCTATTCAAAAGGAGAAGGGACTTTCCTCCAATGCCCTGGCCAACAATCCTCCGAAATAAAATTAGGCAATCATTTAATTGTGGGACATTGCTGTGTGCAAATTGCTCTGGCAACATATACAGTCACTACACTTTACAGTATCAGTATACTTTGTTTACAGTATCCTGTGAAACACTTTGAAATGTCCTCCCGATATGAAAGGTGCCATATCAAGTGTAAGAATTATTCTTTATTCTGTTCCATGTGAACACCTCGCTTACAGTCTCTGCCTAGATTCATATGAAAAAAATCTTTCTCTGGGCAAAGACTGCAGGACTGAATGGTAGCATACCGAGTGTGGGTGATTGACTGTCAACAAGAGAGGAAACCTTGGGATAAAATGGGAGAGAAAGGAAATGAAATCTAAACAACCAGCAGCAAAATCAAGGCAGTGTGTTAATCTTCAGGTTTCTACCGACACTAATGAACCAATCATTCTTAGCTCTCAATGTTCATAAATTTATCAGAAATCCCTTGGATTACTTCTTGTAATTGCCATTGATATTCTATAATTATTCATAGAATTTCCTACATGTGGAATATTTTCCAGCTATTTCTTCCATTCAGATCTCAGAATATCCTGCATTTGAAATGCACAGAATCTGTCTGCTGCCGACATTATCTGACTGAAAATATTCAGTGTTTTCAAGTTAATGGCCGACATCAAGGGCACTCTTTGAAATTGGTGGCAGAGGCTGAGTGTGCTGCTCACAGTGTTAAAGGCCGAGTGCTCCTGCAGGGGAAGAGCTCTTAACGTAATCTCACTGCTCTTGCAGGGGAAGAGCTCTCAATGTAACTCACTTCACTTACATCATTTGTGAAAACACTTGTGGTAAGTTTTCTTGCATCTGTGAGGAGGGAAATTTCTAATTTCCTTCCAAAGTCTGCAGCCCCCTTGACACTTGGCATGTTTGAGCTTCAAGGATGGATGAGTATATTTTGGTCCTGCGGTGTGATTGACACTTCTAGAAACCCATCACCATGTTTAAGAGTATCCAAATCAGAGTTCTACATATGTATGACACCGAGACATGGAGATTTCCCTATGCCCAGAATGGAGTGGACCCTCACTCCCCAAAGGGACACACCTTGCTTACCTAATTCCAGAGAACATTACATGTAGGTTGGTGAGAGCTAAGTTTTGGGGACCCCAGAGTGTGTTTTGGGGTACTTCTGGAGTTTAACCAGCTAAAATTGCAAAGCCTAAGATTGAGAGCACTGCCTGGCAAGCTTTCCCGCTGCTTATTCAGCTAGGACCACCCTATCCCTTAGGGCTTTAGCTTGCAGAATTAATAAGAGCTGAGTGGGAACAACTTTGCTGCCAGTGACTGATATGCCCTTCCAAGTCCTACCGACGAGCCACCTGGCTGGTTTGTCATCAGCAAAGCCCTGGAGTACTGCAAACCTGCCTGGCTCAGGAAATGGATTACCGAGACTGCCACAGAGGGTTAATGAGATTCCGACATTCCATTGCCAAACATGTCACCTTGGAGCCAGCTCAGCTCCAAGGACACCCTGTCCCAAGGAGGAGAGGTGCTCAGCTGAACTCCACAACAGGTCTGTCACTGTGAGGCTCTCAATGGACTGCCACGGATCAGCATCCTTGCATGTCTTAAACACTGAACATAGAACAATTTAAAAAATGAGTTGATTCAGGCACTGATTTATTCCCTGGATGTGCTGCTGTGCTTACTTGTGCACACAACACCTTAAAGGACTCATTAGAGAGATTTCAGTTTTAGTTCTTTTGTTCCAACTGTGTTGCAATTTCAGACCTACTGCCTTGCTGAGGATCCATCTCCAAATGTTGTGTTCCTGATCTTGCAGCCAAGCAACCTGCTCAGAGATGCATTGAGAGAAAGGAGGCTGTGGATTTCCCAAGAGAGAGAGAGGACTGGGGGTGGGCGGAATGAATTGTGAGAAAATTGCAGGACAAATGATGCCAGGCTGCCTTGACCAATTTAAAGTGGTGACTGGGGCATATCAGGGATCTCACTAGCTTTGTCTGCTGAGGATAACACAAGCTACAGACAGAGATCTAGATGAGAAAGGAAAGAAAATGACTTTGAAGAGAGTGCATCATCAGAGAGAGAAAGATTTGGTGGTTACTTAGAAATACAACAGAAACTCACTATTAAGGCCAGCCGATAGACCTTGTTTTGAAACAACAACAAATTGCATTTGTATAGTACCTTTCATGCTGGGAGGAAGTTCCAAGGTGCTGGACAGTTAGGGATTTGGACCCAAGCTGGGGGTTGGGATTAGGAGGGTGGAGGGCACGGAGGGTAGGGGTAGGAAGGTAACCAAAGGCATGGTCGAAGAGGAGGGTCTTGAGACAGTTCTTGAAGGAGGCAAGGGAGGGAGCGAGGTGAAGGGACTGTGGGATGGAGTTTCCAAAGGTGGGGAGAGAGTCTGAAAGCTCCAAATTAAGACTGGGCATTAGAATTTTTCACAATTCAATGCAATCTTCAGTCACTATTACTGTTGAATGGAACTTTGGGCGTTGGCTGCCTGTTCCGTGCAATAAGATGAACTCGCAGAGCTGAAAGGGTGAACAGGAATAACAGCAGGATTATTATGGTTATTACAGTGCTGCAGAACCTTTCTTGGGGAGCAATGTCTTGGGAATAAATATTGTGAGAAACAAAATCTCAATTTATTTCACCTCAGTGCTGAAACAAAGCCTTTGCCCACGATGGGTTAACGGTTTTATAGCAAAGATGATCGGTTTGCTCGCTGTGAAGAGTTTGATTCAAATTTAAATAAGTGTTTTTTTTTCAAAGTTGCCATGCTATGAATTTTGCCTTGTTAAATCCAGGTTATGCCAATAATACTCCGTGTTCCCTGTAAGGGAGTAATTACCTCTGAATATCGCAGTCATGGCTGTCCAAATGGAGACAGAGCACTTTATTACAGAAGGACCTCTGTTGCTTCTAATCTCTCATTAGAACTGGAGTTTGCCTGAAACTCTATTAAAGAAAGCAGTAGAGCTCAGACCTCAGAGAGGCTGACCCTTGACAAGAAGATCCACATTGCTAGTTGCCACAGGTTTGTAATAATTAGGTTTGGGCGGACAGCTCATAAATGAGTTTCGCTCAGTAGCTTTTGCTTCCACAGCACTGACAGAACTTGCACTAAATGGAAAAGCTCCTAATGGAAAAGGTAACAGTACAGAGCGTTCCGCGTGGCTCTTCTATTTAATCTACAACACATCAGATGAAGGATCAGGTGAAAATGTACAGCAAACCTACTTGCTGTACTTTGAGATTGGGCAGTGCTGTGGCTGGTTTAGCACATTGCTTCTTGACCTCTGCAGGCCTGGATTTAAAACCATGTAACTTTAATAGGATTGAAGTCTTCCTTGCTCGCTGACAGATGTACAGATGCAGAACAAGTCCAGACCGTCTTTCAAAAAAAGTTTCTATTGGTTGTGGACCCATTGCCCAGTATTGATCTGATCAAACTCACATTTCTCAGTCAGAGACGTCTCGCTAATGTGGGAAATGGAAAAGTTCACACTGTGTTGTACGGGGTGTTCTTTACTTAACGTTCATATATATTTGGGAGCAGACACTAACACAACACAGCACAACCTTCTTCTTTATTAACATTGATAGCACCCCTAATGCAGTGAATCTGTAGTTATCAGTGTTAATAAAGAAGAGGGTTATATCGTGGAGTTCTGTAGCATATTGATTAGATCACTCGCCTCGCAAGTGAGAGGACCTGGATTTGATTCCCAGGCAGGGCAAAATATTAGGCAAGTTTCCCTACTCCACACGCTTCTGTTTATCTAGCAGTAATAATAATCCTTGCATTTGGTATAGTGCCTCATCATGTCTTTGAGAAGTCTCAAAGTGCTTCACAAAATATATTGTAAAGTGAATTGACTGTATATTTTGTGCGGGAAACACGGCAGCCAATTGTGCACAGCAGTGTCCCACAAATCATTGTGGATTGAGTGACCAAATTATTATTATTTTTTGTAATTTTGAAGGAATTGTTAACCCCGGAAAAGCAATCCGCCAATTGACTAACAACAGGGTTGCTCTGACTGCTAGGTAAACAGAGGCGTGTGGAGTAAGAAAACTTGCCCAATGTTTCGTCCTGCCCAGGAATCGAACCAAGGTCCTCTTGCTTGCGAAGCAAGTGCTGTAACCACTAAGCTATGCTAAACAATAAGACTCCCTGGCTCAATTTTATTAAATAATAATAATAATAAATAATAATAATAAATGCAGGAAATACAGAGAATGTGCAGGAAATATACAATAACAACAGCAAATTACATTTGTATTGCACATTTCACATCAGGAGGACGTCCCAAGACGCCAAATGCTGAATGCTGAATGGAGGAAACAAAACAAAAATGAAGGAGCCCGGTTGTTAGTTGATTGGTGGATTGCTTTTCTGGGGGTGATAATTCCTTCAAAAGTAAGTAAATAATAAAACAAATGAATAAACAATAAATAATAA